GCGAATGTGTATCGCAAGTTATACGCGAAAACCGACGAAAATCTTTACCACCCCCGACCCGCGGTGCGAGCCAGCCTCGTTTCCGGGGATATTAATTAAAACGGGAAAGGAAATGGAGAAAAAAAAGAGGGTGGGAGGGGGGAAAAAAAAGAAAGAAAGAAAAAAAGGGAAACGGAGACAAAAACATTTACGGGACGGCGAAAAATTTCCCCATTGTATCCGGGCAAAGGGCGAGTCGAACGGCGGCGATACAGAGTTTTCGTCGAACGTGTTCGTTGCGAATGACAACCCCCTGTGTCGTGCACACGACAGATGCAGCGAACAATATGGCTCGACGTGTGCGCGCGTAGTCGGTTTTGATTTCGGTGTTATTATGCCCACGGTCAGGTATAACGCACGGCAGAGAACGTGTCAGCCGTCGATCCGTCGTTATTCCGTGCTCCACACTCCGAGAGGCCCTGCAACGCTGCTGCTCGCAAAATTGATCTGCAACGTTACATGCGACCGACGTATACCTCTCGCGATACACTCGAACGCTGCATTTCCGCTGCTCAACCCCTACCATTTATGAAATTTTCCGCGCCCCATTTTTCTCCACCACCCTCTTCGTTTCACTTCCACCATCGATTTTTCCGAAATTTTTATCCCGGGACGAGTACAACGTCGGCGAAATCGTTGTGCGTGCTCGATTGAGAGAGCTACAAAATATTTCGGACGATTATAAAAATTTTATACGACGAAAAAATGTAGGACGTTGTTGTACGAAGAACGAGGATATTTTTTTATAAAGAGATACATTTTACAGGATCTGTATGTTTCGAGCATGGAATATTTTTATTATCATGAATACAGAAAATGTTATAAATAACAATTGGAGATCGAAGGGGGAAAAAGTGGTGGAAAATTAGGACGGTATAAAGTTAGACGGCCAGCTAAATTTATCCACGAGAATTATCGAAAGAAATTGGATCTCAAATTTACGACCGCTCTTTGTTCCGCCCTGTATCCATCCTATATCGCTCCACCCTCCCCGACTTATCAAAATTTCAAATAAGAAACATCGTTTTTCCGCGGCCGTTCTCGTGAAAGTAAGCCATCCCTCGAACTGGGGAAAAGATCGGAGCGAAGGAAAGGGCGGAAAAAAACGATGTTGCATCTCCCCTCCCTTGAACGATAGCCTCCTCGATCTGGGCATCGACCTAATCAGATGGTAAAAAGCGGATGCATCATCTCGTGGAACTTGGCGGTACGTTCACTAGGGTTCGCCAGTCGTTGGTCCAGGCCAGCATCCCCTGCGCGACGCTCGCTCATCCTGTCGGACGAGGCACGAACTACATTCGGGGTTGCGGATAGTACACCCTGTGCGCAGGCCGTCAGCAAACAATAGACGCGTGCGTGGTCCGTGTGTGTGAAACAGTCTGTGGACGATAATTTCATTAAGTAAAAATGTATCGACTGAAGTGATGAAGAAAAGGAAGACGGGTGGATCGGATCGAGACGCGTGCATGCCGCGTTGAATAACAAATACATAATAATACGGATGGATGATCGATGAAGGAATGAACTGAGAGAAGGAAAACATCTGGAAGCGTAATATGGCTGGGATTGGCGTCGTTTGACTCGTAAACAGTGATTTATCTGTCCTTTATCGGATAGAAAAATTGATTCGAGGGGTAAAAGAGGAATAATAGAATAGGAAATATATCGATCGGTGTCGATCGTTGTTTCTTCGGATTGTTTCTTCGGATCGAGGAAAGATTGGAGGGACATGGCCGGTTACACGGTTGTGCGCAAAAAATTTTGCTGATCCTCGCTGCATTCGGGGGGATCCTGCGCCGTGCATGACCGGCGGTGGAAAGAAATTTGTCGGTAAGTGTTGCGGTTACTATTGATTATGTTACGCTTGTCGATGATACCGTTCGCTCGATACTTCGTGTCACCCACGCGTGAACGATGGTAACCGACCGCCCGTCGTTTTCATCAAGAAACCGACTTCGTTCATCCTTGGCACCTCTGGAATAGGAGAAAAATTACGATTAAAGCGGGGATAAGAGTTTGCCTGAGAAATGAGATCCTACGACGGTGAGAGCAGCTCTACGGAGGACGATGATAGAAGAGAGGGCCTTCCCGAGGCGCACTTGCAGCAAGGATCCTGGCAACGTTCGGCTTCCCACCCTACATGGGCTTGGGAACATCGTGCCGCTGTAAATACTGTCCATCATATATATATGACTAATATACGTTTTTTTAAAAAATTCGGAATATATAAATATTTAATATCGTATGGTTATCGCAGCATCCATTACCACCACAATCAACGGCATCGCTCGAATCCATGTACTCGTTACCAGGGGCGTCTCACGCCAGTGTTTCCGCTCCTCCAGCTGGCTACTCGTCCGAGCACCCTCAGAGCGCACCTGGAAGAAGAACTCCCTTGGGTGCCGTCGGCCTCGGCGGTTTCTATTTTCAGCAACAGCCCCAACCGCACGCCTCGTCGAGTTCCCTCTCCGATGAAAACAGACCAGACCAAGAGAGGTATTAGATACCACTTCGTAACGTGGATCGATTTGATCCAACCTTGTAAATACATTTATTAATTATATTGGATATTGTTGTAGACCCGGAGCATCGAGACTGAACTGCCCGCCAAAATCGAAGACCACGCGTCAAGGGAAAAGCATGCGACTAAACATAAACGCGAGAGAGCGTAGAAGAATGCACGATTTAAACGATGCTCTCGACGAACTTCGATCCGTTATTCCTTACGCCCATAGTCCGTCCGTAAGAAAATTGTCCAAGATTGCCACTCTCCTTTTGGCAAAAAATTATATTCTCATGCAAGGTAAGGAAAAGAAGTAGAATGGAAGGGAGGAAGGGATTGCTTTATTTTGCCTATGTATTCATCGAATCGTTCCTTGCCAAATTATATACATTGCAGGAAACGCTTTGGAAGAACTGAAAAGAGTGATAGCGGTTTTGCAATCGCCTCACGCTCACACCACAGCTTTACCACCCACACCTGTTTCCTACGATTTGCTGCACGGATTCCCAGGCAAGTTGTTCCAAGGTGTGCCGGATATGCAAGGACTTCCTACGACAGATCCTCAAAGCGTGACGGCAGGTGGTCCTCCGACTGATGGCACTGTGGCCAGTGGAGAATCGAATTAAAGATTCGAGCCTTTGTTTCTTTGAATAGATGTAAGATTAAAATCGAGAATCGAATGTGTTGAATTGGATGGGACGAGTGTTGATAAAAAGACGACAGAGATATTGAAGGATTTCTTATTATACAATTTACAAGATAAAGGAGGGGACAGTAGATGGCACTACTTTTAGTGTTAATAACGATTTTTATGAATATATATTGCGAGAATAATTAAACGCGATTAATCTTCTAGGATGGAATCTAACGATAATTTTAATATTAAGATTACAATGAAGATAGCGTGTAAGTTTCGAATGCGAGATTAATTGTTGATACAATGAAAGTATTAGAAGTATTCAAGGACGTATTCGACATACACTGTTACGAGTTCGATAAACATTGAGTCAATACTAGTACGTATGGTTGATACTCTTAAGATTGAAAGTTTATGAAAGTACTAGCAATTAACGATTAAGAGTAATTACTTACGGTCTACGATAACTAAGAAGAGCAATAAGTAACAGCATATTTCTGTCTCTGGTGAATGGATATCGATTTCTAATGAGAAAAAGAATAATATTCTAGAGTGAATTTTATTTATTTATTTATTTATTTTTTTTTTGTTTTTAAATATTAAATATTAACTGCCAGAGAGAGAAATGATGTAAGGATGAGGAATAAAATTTCCAAATCCCGTCCGGCAACGCGATAGTCAATATAGCATGTGATACATGTCGAGATATTATATATATATATATATTATATTCTAGTCATACACGCGTACAGATCTTAAATATTCATATACATATTATATATAGATATATATATATTTAATAATTCGAATTGAGCCATCGATTGTATAACTTATTTATATACATAATGCGTTTATTAAGAGTTTATTACGATGTGCCAAGAATATATCCATTTTTTGCGAGAATAATCGAATTGCATAGACCTAGACGAAAGACGAAAGTATTCCTATTTAAAAATGATTTTTTAAAATTTAATGAATCTTAAATTTGGAATCTTCCGCTCTCTGATAGGTCTACATGAAACATTTTAAAGATACCATTAAAATGGCAAACAATAACAATTATTATTATATTATTCATATAAAATTCCTAATGACTTTAGTCATTAAATAACAATAAAAATATGCGAAGGCTACACTAATAATGAAAACAGATGAAAATATTTGTTGTAGAGTGTAGATTTCACTGTTTAGTGCTCGAATAAAATCTATTTAAGAAAGTTATAGATCGGATGGGTGCTCTGAAAGAAAATCGTTAAATATAAAACGAAAGAAATATAATATTCTTTTAATCAACTCCAATAAAATAAGAAATAAAAAAGATTGACAATGATCTATATTCCTTCAGGGCAACCATAATATACAATTTTAATTGCAAAATATATACATCGAAATCAATATACTGATAATATAATTATTATTAAATGAATGATAATACATTTTTAATATAATAATAGTTTAATAATATTGCACGGTATATACTTTTCAAATATTTTACAGTTTAATCTATTTTAAAACGAGACACAAGTTTCTAATTAAATTAATGATTTTCAATTTAATTACATGGAAAGATATATCAGAAACATGTGAGTCGTTTAATGAAAATTGATCAATTCTTACAATGATTGAATTATCATATCGTTGTTACCGTCATAATTATTAAAAAAAATATATTGATTAATCTTTGAAAAATTATAAACACCATGATATGGTGAATCAATATCAATTATAAAATAATTAATAATTTTTTTTTATATTAATTTTTAAAACTATACGTTAACAAAAGCAGATGATTATTATCATCGTACACGTGATGAATCGGTGGCGCCATCATGACAACCGCGCGACGAAGTATTAATTTAATTTCACTCGAATATTTTTTTGAAACAAAATATAATATTATTGTAAAATCTAACTTTTAATTCACATAACAGCGTAAGAAAAAAGTTGCATATTATAGAATAATATCGGATTCAACGGAATAAATCAATTACCGTATTGTAAGGCGAATTTCGTTCAAGTTTGAAAGGTTCGATAAGTGGCGCCATCATGGCCGCCACTTTACGGAGCATTCACTTGATCGTCTTCCGTCCTTCTAGGAGGATCTTACACCGTATGTGCCTGATACGACGGGGCTTATTGTGTGTGTGCCTTGTCGGTGGCTTCAAGATGGCCTGTAGGCTGGTTCTACGCGCCATGGTGTGATCATTTGATTCCCGGTGGTTGTGTCTCTGTAAACGTTTCGTGAAAAGTTCGTCAGTGTCAAAACGACGACGTGACTCGACCGGCTGGTAACTCGGGGCAACCTGAAAATGTGACAATCGACTGAAAACCGGTAAGTCGTCACACACATGATATTATTTTCTACTTTGTGATAACTGAATAATCAATTATAATTTCATTACAACAAGTTTAACAATGTAGTCATTTCTAAAAAAGAAATATACATAATTAGAGAAATAAACAGAAAGGAGATTAAAAAGAATAAACTATGATAAAGCGGATATACCAGATAGTAACAAACTGTTTTTCTTCTGTAATCTGAAAGAATAAGAAATAATATGATAAAACGGTAACTTCACGTTATAATTGTTTTTGAAATGACTTGCTTGATAGGTTATGATGTCATAATCGTCGAGAATTCGCGCAATGTCTTTGTCTTCGTTGCTCGATCGCGATCACAATATCTTTATGTTCGTTAATTTTGTCTTTGTCGTATTAGTTGATAAAATAGAACGAAACAAGGTGCGATTAACATAACGTATCGAAAAAATTGAAGCGTATAACTAATGCACGTATGTGTTCATTGCATTTTTTTATATACGATATATATCTTTCGTAGTATATTTTCCGTTGCGAGTGGGAGAACTAACCTTACCTCGCAATTGGGCGAAAGACACACGACGGGGTCGCTATTGGTAGTCCTTTCTACATACCTGACACGCAAAACTTACCTGTGTTCTTAATCAACATTTTTTTCAAGGATTTTGATTTCTTTAAATTTATTCGCAAAAATGCGTTTTATTATTACTCAGTTCTTTTTATAATTATAAAAGTTGTGCGAAACTGTCATCAAAGATATTATATATTATCAATTGAAATTATGTATGTATCGATATAATTTTTTGAATTTTGAATTTTGAATTTTATTGATTTGAAATGAATTTTATGATATTTAAAGTTATGATCAAGTAGATTTATATTGTGCTTTGTTTGTCAAATGAAATTTTGTTGAGATTCGATAAGAAAAAAAGATATCTGTTTTCATGAGCGACGAACTCCACGTTTTACAGTCACTTGTGAACAGACCATTGGCCAGCCTGTGCTTATTTGCCGTTGACGTCAATTAAGGTCGAAATATACCTTGAAACAGTTTGATTCATTGCCTCATAATGCTCTTCGACGAAGGATTAACTTCATGGACAGTATCATGCGTTCACGAATAATCTGATAGGAACACGGTAAGGTAAATAATAATAAACTCTTAAATCGTTCGTTAAATTCTTCAGCGTGACATCGTGACACACTATCGTCTATGCTTACTTCCGGTCTACTACGTTTGTATTTTATTTACCATATTTATAATGAACTAACTGTACTTAATTGTTTTTTAAGAAACATATTTTTTTGGAATACAATTATTCCATGATTTTAATCTTCAAAATAATCTAAAAAAGACACATAATTTTATAAAAAAAAACAATATTAATTTTGTTTTTTTAACAGATATTAAGAATTTAGTTTGAAAAAACAATTATTATTTCTAATCTATTATATAAAACTCTGCATATGGTCTTCATAATGATTCAATCATCTTTAAAAAGATATTTCTAGAATATTTTTAATAAAACAACTATGATATTTGAAACAAGATAAAGAATTTTAATAGCGAAACCTGTTTTATAGAAAAGAATTCAAGTTTGATAATCAAACGCAGAAAGGCATTTCACATCCTTATTGGTTCAAGACCCAAAATATAAAAGAAGTTACTTGTGACACATTTCCGGTAAATTTATCTCAGATGTATAATACATACATCGACAATTGGCACGCGTGACGTATAGCGTTAATGATAAAAACCAATCTTACTTACGCTATATTACAGGGTCATGAATTTTTGGATAAGCATCGCGAACGCGTTTTATATACAAGCAACAAGTATGTGGCATACATTAATTTTTACGAGTGCGCATATCTGCGATTGTCGACGTGTGCGCGCATCACATTGCGCAAACATACCTACTACGTGATCAGGAAATGTATATATTATATTTCATATGATAAAAATTCATGCTATATAGTAAGGTATAAGTAATATTAAGAACGAGATATTTTAAATGGTTTGAAAATGATATAAGTTTTACATTTATTTTTTTCAATATATTGAAATATTTTTTATATTTATTTTTATATCAAATTATTTGATTTAAAATAATTTGAATTTATTTTATTCAGTGAATAATTCTTCGATTAATTTTTCCAAGTATTAGAATGATATCAATGTTCAGTTTTTCATCGAATAATGAAGTCATACACGTGAATAGTATGGTATATTTCTAATTATTACAATTATATATCAAATCAATAAATGATTATCCTTTTTTAATGAGAAAAAAATATATAATAAGATATATTGATCATATGTATTTTTAATTAAAAATCGGCTTAATCCATATGATATTGAATGTATCTTAAATCATAAATTTAATTTAAGATTTATCTAAAATTTTACGATTTTTAAAAAATATAAATAATGTTACATTTTCTGTGCACTTTAAAAATATACATTCGTGCTTAAAACTTTCAAGTATAATTTGCATGTAATATAACATTTCTTTCATGAGATATACTTGAATAATGAATCAAAATTGTTGTTGGGTCAAGAATTATTTGAATTATTTTAGCTTGTCTATGTTTTTATATGAAGAATGATAATTGAAACGTATGAAATGCAAAATCCGTGATTCAGTGCAACTTTTTTTCACACGTAATATAATAATAAACTTCATCTAAAAAAATTAATGCTTATCAATTGTAAAATCAAAAGTAATGTTTATAGAATGATGATTTCATTATCAATATTTTTTTTGTTTAAGCTTGAGACTTGTCAATATTTTTACTTTTATTTTTATTATTTAATTTGTTCAAAAATATGCTACATTGGATATATCGCGTAATAAATAAAGATACATAGGAAATATAAAAAAAAATCTGTACATTGTTAGTATTTTAATATATAAACAAATAACTTGATTACATGTATATAATTGATCTTCGATTAGAAAAAAATTGCTTAAGAAAAAGTTATATGATATTGAGGAAAATATAACAAGTATAGTTAGTTACAATTTTATGCTTTCATGATTTTATTATTGACTTTTATTTATTGAATTTATTAAATTTTATTGCGTCTTATTGATGTTTGACCTCTGATATTAAAATTTTTATAATTTGAAAGTTTATTTTTTAAATATATATTAACTTCTGATTTTTATTATATATCGTGAAATTGTTATTTTTTATTGGAGATTATAAGAAAGAAACAAAATTGCAAAAAATTAATTACTATTTTGTATATTGATTTTGACATGTAAAATTTTTAGGTTAGGTTAGCGTTTTATTCTTTAAAATATAAATATCGTTAAATTATTTTGAAAGTAATTATTCACTAATTTTTAATTATTTATTAAAAAAGCTAATACAATGATTACACGATGATTAATGAGATTGGAAAACATTGGGAACCGTATTAGAAAGTTCTTTGCAAACATTATAACCATGTTAACTGATTTGCTATGAAAGAATATATTCGTATGATATCTTATATGATATCAATAGATCAATATATGATATCAATATATTTATCTTTAATTGCTGTATATCAGGCAGTGCTCTTCTGCTCTCTTATTTCATTTCTTAACAGGATTTATCCAAATTTTACTTATTCTTTACTAATTCATTGCTTCGTATCTTTACTAATTCATATAATATATATCTATCAAATTCATCTAAAAAAATAGTTATATGAATTTCAAATTACTCAAATATTTATCAATTCATTTTCTTTTAAAAAGATCAATTAACCGATTATAGGTTATCCTATAAAATATTGAATTAAAAGATATATCGCAAGTTTTTATAATAGAATTTGAATAAACAATGAATTTATAGAAAAAATTGATATATTTTACTAAAAAAAAGAATATATTTATATAAACGTAAAACGAATTCGTTGCTTTTATAATCCTGTTCTGTGTTGAGCTCTTCTCTCTCTCTCTCTCTCTTTTTTTTTCTCTTTCTCCCAATAGTTTTGGATTTATTATTTTTCATTAACGAACAACCAGTGAATTCAGAGGTGGGTGGTTGAGAGCGTCGAGTGAAAAATGGTAAAATAAGAAAGAAGATGAGAGAGGGAACACTGCGATGGTTGGGGAAGAGAAACAGCAAAGGGAGAGAGATGAAAACAAAGCGAACACAACTGCCAGGGCAACAATGGCGCATCGACCCGCCAAAACTCGCGCTGATGCGCAGAACGCGCGCGCCGCATCTGGTCCGATCGAGCAGCGTGTTAACCTATCTTTTACATTTTTCGTATCGTAATAATTGATTCAATCAATTTTCTGGTAAAAAAGATAAATCGAAATGTATCATTTTCGTCATCAGTTTGTCATCGAACGGAATACTGCGCCGTATAAATACCGTTGAAAAAAAGAACTAGATCTTTATTCGCCCGATGCGTAAAAGCATGCGCAGTAGGCTCTTGGAAACGACCGACTCTTGATTAACGTAGTAGCTTCTCTACGATTAAAATTCTTTCAATTCGTTTTAAATTTATTTTTAGTTTGATATAGAATTTTTGATAGCAAATTTTGTTGGTTATTGAAAAAAAGAATTTATTTTAAGAATTTAAGTAAATGTTATTCAATTTAATAATATTGGTTTTATTTTATATATTTTTTATATATGTTGCTATAGTTATTGATAAGAATAAGAGAAAGTTATTGCAGTATTGGTGTTTTTAGAATAACCATATCGATGATACTAATCATTGTTTAGTCTGCAAAACCTTATACACCAATGTGAGTGATTTTATAGGATAAAATCAAAGTTGAATTTGCATTAATATAAAGAAAGCACTTTATATATATATTTTTTTTATAATACTTTTTTTTTAATACTGACCAATATATTGAATTTTCCAATTATAAATAAAAAATAAAAATAATCAAATTAGTCATTCAATTATATTTTCAAATCAGAAAACGAATAAAAGAAATAAGAATATTATATAAGATTCAGATGTTATTGAATCTATATAAATAGATTCATAATATAATTCATATATAGAATACAGTTTCTTCTGCAATTCTATTATTGTATAGTATAAAATAAGCTACATAAGGTTTAAATGGGAAAGCCAATTGGATGAGGTTGATGTTCCTCTCTACTTTTTCTTCTTTTGGATTTCAATTTGCAACGCGATGTAACCTCTTCTAGAAATCGCTCCAGATATCCTAGAAGACTTTTCGTTCTCGTTCGTTCTCGTGAACGGAGCAGGACTGAGAAGTATGGTCCAGGATGGATGAAGATCAGGTGCTGTGGTTGCCCTGGCAACCGGCATTGATCCCTCCCCTCTTGTTCTACCATCCTTTTCGTCTCTCCTCCACCACATATTATTGGTCTCTCTCTCTCTCTTTCTCCCTCCCTCCTCTTTCCCTCTCCCTCTCTCTCTCCTTCTCTCTTTCTCTGTATGTATGTATGTATGTATGTATGTATACTCTTTCCTTTTTCTCTCTAGTGTTGAACGCACAAATACAAATATACATAGATTGTATACATATATAGATTCGAGAAGACATGGAAGAGAAAAATCTTTTTTCTTGATCTTGCTTGTTGCATTGCTTTTACCTTTTTTCTTTTTTCGAACCTCTTTTTATTTTCATTCGAACTTTCTGCCTTTCTATTCTAGATTT